CGACCTGCTTGGTGGGCGCAGCGATGTGGGGGTCTGCAGCGCGGAGGAGGCTCCGTTTGGCGGACGACGTGCGGAACGCCGTTGCCAGGGCATGTGGGCCGGAGGGCCCTCAAAGGGGCGCCTGATGAGGTTTTCGTGTCACGTGTAGTTTGGCCTTAGGGGTGGGAGCTGCCGGCTGCAGGGAATAAACCCCCTCTTCTTCAAAAACTGAGCACCTGATGGGTTTGTTCCTGTGCAGCTTTTCTGTTTTCTACCAGGTCTTTACTTGCTGGGGAGATGGGTAAGTTGGGGGGGTCTGTGGGGATCCTGGGGGAGGGGAGCACCTTACCCTGCTGCCGGGAGCCACCTGTGTGCGTAAACAAGTCATTCGCCAGCTGCTACCCAAAAGCTGCCTCTGACCCCTTGGCATCCCGTACTAAATACGGTGCCAGAACTGCTGAGTAACTCGTAAGCCTTTCCAGGGTTCCTTTGGGGGCAATTCCAGTCGTTCCCTTGGCCTTGGAGGGTGGTGCACACCGGCAGCAGGGGGACACGTGGGCGGCCGCATCGTGCTGCTGTCCGCGTGCTCTGCCCGGCCTTAGAGTTCCGGCGGGAGCTCTCGGGGCGTGCGGGCTGTCCCTGACCTGTAAGAGAGGGAGTGTCTTTAAAGAGGGATAACACCCTTGGCGTACCCCGGGTGTTGTGTGGGAGTTCTCGGAGCGGGGGCAGGGAGATCGTGGCAGCGGGAGCAGCGCGTCTCTCCGAGGAGCTCCAATCCTGCCCTTCCCTAAGCGAAACGAGCGCGGCCCTCAGGGACCCAGCCGAAGCTGTGCTGAGCTGGATGAACGCTGAAGGAATCACCCTTCCCTTGGGAAGGGGTGGATGTGCATCCCCTGCAGCCGAGAGAAATGGCCGTTTCTGGTGGCCTCCCACAGAAAACCCAGGTTCAAGGTTAGACGGGGCCTTCCCTGGAACGGGGAGGGGGAGAGGGCCGTAGGGTCCTTCGGAGAAGGCTGGAGCTCGCCTCGTGGAAGGTTGGCTGTCACACCCTGCCTTCCCTCCCCAGGCTGTTGTACTCTGCGTTCCCCGGGAGGCGGGGGGGATGAAC